GCCCTGCCTGCATTTTGACTGTTCTTTCTGCCTGGAAACTTAGAAAAGTCCACGGTGTCCAAAAAGCGTCCCTTTAGGTCAAAATCGGTTTTAGACCGGCTAGAGAACAGCGATAGTAAATCAGAACTACTTGCAGAATTGAGTGATAATGATTTGTGGGGAAATTCGTCATCAGATACTGAAAACGATTTTGCGACTTTGCTCAGTGATGTGCGAACTTGGCGCTATATTTCAAATTTCAGTGTTTTTGGTTTGATTATATTATTGAATTAAATTTATTATTATTATATTATTATTTTTTTATGAGTATTTATTAAATTATAATTTATGATTTCGTGTTTCAAGTTTTATCATATCCGGAATGTTTACTAGACTCTTGTTTGGACAGATTTCAGTGAGTTATTCCTAAGAATTACAGGCCTACAATCCATGCAAAAAAATGGTACCGCTTTCAGCACCAAAAATCTGAAATAATCATACCGTCAGGGAGGTTAATGATCTACATCAGGGGTCTTCAAACGTTCTGTACAAAGGGCAAGTTTATGGTCATTCAGACTTTAGGGGGGCCAGACTGTGAACATTGGGAGTAGAAACTGTCTCAGCATCAGTGGGTGCAAACAATACCCCATCTTTGGTGCCAGCGAGAGGAATTGTGCCCCACTGTTGGTGTCATTGGAACTGTGCCCTATCATTGGTGTCATTAGGAGTAATTGCACGCCTTCATTGGTGTCATGGGGGGAATTATGCCCCATTCTGTAAGTGGATGAAATAGTGGTCCAAGGGCCAGATAAAAGCAAGCAAGTAGACCACTGATCTACACTATTGCTGCTACAACTCAAATTTTTATCCAAAGCACTGGTTCCTAGAAGTATGCTGAACACACTGACAGCTTTCTTGCTGGCTGCTCTTGATTTCCGCAAACTTTATATTAAGATCAATGACACGTGTTGTCACAGTTGACGCTGCAGCTGTTTTGCAGGAATGGGACACAGCAGGGGGAAATTGTGAAGGGTCTTTGCATCAGTGGGTCTCACCCAATGTATATTTTTATACTATGAATGAAGTCTTGTATGACACTGTTGATGTGACCTGGGTGCCTTAAAATCCAGGTGTTTTCATAGATGACCTTAGTGTCAGGATCAAGGGGATTGTAGCTTTCAAATCTTCATTTTTCAGGTGTTGAGAATTTTTGTCTGCCATGTTATATTTGACCTGCAGGTGGCACACTTGTTATGTGCACTTCATATCTTCTCCAAGGTAATGATAATATACAGTATAGCATATTTCAGAAATAAAAGCATAGAGTAAACACAAATTCTAAATTAATATTTACATTTGCTGGAATTGCTTTAGTGAAAAAAGCATATAACAATAAGGGTATCCAAATATCAGATTTTTAAGGTTATGTAGAAAGTGATTTTTTTCAAGGGAAGTCTATTGATCGAGGATTGCACATAGGTAATAAAGCTGTTCGGGGAAGAAATGATGTGCAAAGACATTAGCCAAACAGATTCCAGCTCACTAAAGTCAGTTCTGTGCAAGGCAAGTTCCAATTGGTTGGTTTAGTTTATTGCACCTTACAAAGTAATGTTTACCATGTGCAGTGAAGTGCAGACTTCACTAAAGACCCCCCTCAACACCCCCCCCCCCTACAAACTCAAACATTCACTATATAAACTGAAACATGTTTGAAGATTTTGCTTTCCTTTGAATCACTTAATGAATATTTAGTTGTATAAGCACTGTTTCTGAGAACTGCTGTACATCTGTGTTGCATGGAGTCAACCAACTTCTGGCACCTGTGAACAGGTATTCCAGCCCAGGATGATTGGACTACATTCCACAGTTCTTCTCTATTTCTTGGTTTTGCCTCATAAACTGCATTTTTGATGTCATCCCACAAGTTTTCTGTTGGATTAAGATCCGGGGATTGGGCTGGCCACTCCATAACGTCAATCTTGTTGGTCTGGAACCAAGATGTTGCACGTTTACAGGTGTGTTTGGGGTCGTTGTCTTGTTGGAACACCCATTTCAAGGGCATTTCCTCTTCAGCATAAGGCAGCATGACCTCTTCAAGTATTCTGATGTATTCAAACTGATCCATGATCCCTGGTATGCGATAAATAGGCCCAACACCGTAGTATGAGAAACATCCCCATATCATGATGCTTGCGCAACCATGCTTCAGTGTCTTCACAGTGTACTGTGGCTTGAATTCAGTGTTTGGGGGTCGTCTGGCAAACTGTCTCCGGCCACTAGACCCAAAAAGAACAATCTTACTTTCATCAGTCCACAAAATGTTGCGCCCATTTCTCTTTAGGCCAGTCAATGTGCTCTTTGGCAAATTGTAACCTCTTCAGCACGTCTTTTTTTCAACAGTGGGACTTTGTGGGGGCTTCTTGCAGATAGCTTGGCTTCACATAGGCGTCTTCTAATTGTAACAGTACTCACAGGTAACTTTAGACCTTCTTTGATCTTCCTGGAGCTGATTGTTGGCTGAGTCCTTGCCATTTTGGCTATTCTATCCATTTGAATGGTAGTTTTTTACTTTCTTCCACGTCTTTCAGGTTTTGGTTGCCATTTTAAAGCATTTGCGTTCATTTTAGCTGAGCAGCCTATCATTTTCTGCACTTCTTTATATGTTTTCCCCTCTCCAATCAACTTTTTAATCAAGGTACGCTGTTCTTCTGAACAATGTCTGGAACAACCCATTTTCCTTAGAATTTCAGAGAAAAATGCACTGTAACCAGCTGCCTTCCTTCCTTAAATAAGGGCAATAATTGCCACCTGTTTTTCAAAGAATGAATGACCTCACTAATAGAACTCCACACTGCTATTATTTTGAACATGCCCCTTTCAATTAGTGATTCAATTACACAGAATCAGCAGCATGCATGTCATGACTGTTGGGTCTGTTGGACTTCTATTACTCTACTACACCTGCAAGTAAATTATTTGCCATGTAGAAATATAATTTCCACCAAAAACATTGATCAGGTTAGTGATGTCTGACTGCTATTATTTTGAACACAACTGTATTTGCTCAGTCTATATAAACTCTTCACCTACTACTTTTAACTTCAGGATGCCAGATGTACATGTTCAGGAACTTGGCTAGGCTTACATAGTCCCAGAGGACAAAGCTATGGGGAGGAGGTAGACTGGCAATCCAGGACTGCATGGGACAGGGAGAGGTTGACACAGAGTAGTGTGTATACTGCAAATGACATTACCAGTCATGTGTATAAGGTGCTATGAAATGAAACAGAAGTAAAGTTGAAAGCCTATCTAGAGGTGGTGTCCAGGGGAAATACTGTAGAGCCAAATATTTCTGTTAAAACCCATCTGAACTCTCTGCTTAAATATACGAAATCCATTCTTGGTGTATCAAACCAGTTAGTTTAATAGAAAGCAGCCATAGCCTAAGTAGAAAAGCTTGTCCCCACCAGAATGCTGTAGAGAAGGAACTTTGCTTTCTGTTTGGAAGCAGTGGTCTCTCTCCAGTGGAGGGATTGGCAGAGAGGGGCGGCGTACAATGAGTGCTTGGTAAGGTGGTAGAGAATGGTAGAAGCATGCATGATAAACTGAAGAGGAATAGTCTGTGTATAAGTAAGTCAACGAAGAGGAAGTTGCAATAGTTCAAGTTACAGATAACAAAGGGAGTAAATAAGTAGCTTGATGGTGTCCTTTGTTAAGAAGGGGCATATGTTGTAGATTGTATGGCGGTGAAGGTGGCAAGATCTGGATGTGGTGCCAGAAGAAGAAGTCATAGTCCAGGATTACACCTAGCACACTGGCATAAGCAGATGTATCTAATATTCTATATTCTAATTATTATCTATTTTACAATTAGTCCATGCACAAAAGGAGTTTATATATAAATGGTGGTATGACTACTTAAAATGGAAGTAAAGTCCACTTTTTAACTTATACCTACCGGCAAACCTATATTAAAGGCTTACTTGTAGGTACAGTGAATATCTCCTAAACTTTCACTGTTTGGGAGATATTCACATAGGAAAGAAGCGAGTGATGACACCCACACATGCACTCTGAAGGGATGGCGTACCCGTGCCATACCTTCAGAGCTCCGTACCTGTGCCTGGGCATGAGCGCGGGAGTGACATCAACGCGGCCCTGGCCATTCATACAGCCAGAGACAACAAACCCAGAAGGAAGATCAAGTGAAGATGGAAGTGCTCTGTCTGCAGATAAGTCTGTTATAATGTGCTAGTATGCCCTGCAAGGGCTGCTGTTAGAAACCACTAGGCCCCATACAGCCAACCTGACAGGGCCCCCTCTCCTCTTAAAAAACAAAAAACAGTGTACCATGCTTCAGTTATGAATGAACACAATGAGTGATCTATACCGCTTACTCATTGTGTTCATGCAGGAAAGGAAAGGGCTGGTAAATGTGACCTATTTACCAGACCTTTCTCCCATTCTATCCTGAAGGATCCTACTATGCGCTTGCATCTGCTGGTGGGAAGGAAAGGAGGGAAGCTGGCAACACTGTGGAGGTGGGGGCACACAGGGGGGCCTGGGCAACAGGGGGAAACGTATGGTGCACAGGGATGGTCATGGGTGAGGGGACAATTACTGGAACTGACCCTTGTATGACTCTCTGCAGCAGCTGAAAGCCAGCAGAAGAGAGAAGAAGCTAGCTTTCAGCTGCTGCAGAGAGCCATACAGGGGATTGGTTCCAGTAATTGCCCCCCCCCACTGTGCTGATCACCCTCCCTGCCCATATTCAGTTCACCCAGCTGCCTGGGCCCCCCTGTTGGCCTGGGCCCCGTACAGGAGGACTGGTGGTACCCCCTTATCCACAGCCCTGTGCACTGCACACTAGTACATTATGACATTAACCTGCAGGGGGCCTGATTTTTTTTTATATTTGTGGCAGTTTACTTCCACTTTAAAGTGTGTCTAAATGTCTAAAGCCTTTTTTAATTTTTAATTTTTTTTGCCTTTTATTTTATTTATTTATTTGGGGGGGGGGGGGGGGTATTTCCCTCACATCCTGTCCCAGAGGCAAAAGAAGAAATGAGGGACAATCTATCCAAAATGAGGGAATATCCCTTCTTAGACAACTGACATTGAACTATAAGTCCCATTGGAAGGATTCCCTGTATTGCTGTGCGGCACGTGTAAACTATTGCATTTTTTTGTATCACTTTCTGTCCCGGTGACCATGGGCCCCAGGACAAATAAACCTGACAAAGGCTCTATCCTTTCCCACAAAAAAAGTTTTAACTGTAAATACACTTTTGAGTGACTGTATACAATCAGATCTGTATTTGCCAGTTCAGTCAGTTGTTCTACATTTTGCAGCTAGAGTAATTTTTAAGCCGTGTCCAAACCTGTTCTCCATAGCAAAAAGTATATTCACTACATCACTGTGTAAGGCGACAGCTGTCAAATTGCATTAAATGTTATTTTTATTAAACATTAAGGGTATCCAATCAATTTGGAATGGTTAGAATATCATATCATTTAGCATAGATGGCTTCATATTTTTTGATTGGAGTGACAGTGTGTCAATGTTTCAGAACCTGAAGAAGCACACATGACACATGAAAAATGTGCATTTCAGTAATCTTTCTGACAACTAACAGTACATCAAAAAAAGTGAGGGACATCTTCAAAACAGACACAGGCAGCAATAAAAATGTGGCATGTAAATTTGGGACTGACCATAGCATGGGTTATCAACTGTGTACACTCAGATATAACATTCATTTCTCTATCATGTGATTCCAGGTTTCAAAGCCTAAAACCCAAGTCTGTACAAAAAAATCCCTTCCTCCTATGCATCAATGGAATATCATCAGTTCCAGGAAAAGATCCCTAGGCACCCAAGGCAAATAGGCGAAATAGCGCCCCAGTGAGCTGTAAACTATTGCAGCAGCTTAGGTTGCAGGTCCTGCCCTTTTTGTACCCCCCTACTGCTGAAGAGCCCAAGGTGGCTGCCTCTTCTGCCTAACCCTCAGCCTGGCCCTGGTATCATGAAGAATCCTTCTCACTTGCCCAGGTCAAAAGACAACCGAAGGAGTCCTAGCACCTGATTGACATACATCTTGCATACATAGCCCCTTAAAGCGGAACTTCACTCTCTCAATCAACATTGGCTAATTTTAATCCTTATATTTCTAGCATTAGTAACTGATGGGAAAAAGTATATCATATAAACTTGTTTTTTTTTTTTTTACATTTCTTCCGTTACTTCCTGGTTTTGAGGTTAGGGTAAAATCGCATCATGCCAGGAGTCTTCAGGAGTGGTTTTCATGCCTGAGCTAAGGGCAGATGGATTCCAGGAAGTAAATGCTACATAAATCATCTTCCCTCACTTAAAATGGCCACCACCAGAAATGCTGTTTTTCAAAGTGATTTCTCAGCAAAATAAGGCATGGGGACATAAATGGATGAGGGAGCTTGCTTTTGCAAATTAAACATTATTTAAATAGCATTTTTGGTGCTCAAATGCTGTGTAGTTCCGCTTTAAAGTGTATGTAAAGCCAAAACCTTTTGTTTTCTAGTTTAAAGTATAGTGGGGTTAATATTCATATCAAGGTTTTTTTTTGGTGTATTCAGTCAGATTTCTCTTCACTTTCTGTCCCGGAGATGCAAAAAGGAAGCCAGAGGAAGTCTCTCCAAAGTGAATGGAATTCCCATCTTAAAGAGTTATCATGTGCCCAGGGGCGGACTGACAACTCATGGGGCCCCCGGGCAATAGGGGATCATGGGGCCCCTGTGTCCTTGGCAAAACTCAAAAAAGCCTATGAAAAAGGTACCAGGGGCATCTCATGGGGCCCCCCTACTGACCCCAGGCCCTCGGGCAGTGCCCGAGTTTCCAAATGGTCAGTCCGCCCCTGCATGTGCCCCATTTGAGGCATTTCCCTCACCTATTGCTTTGATGACAACTCAAAATGTTTGGATTTCCCTACACTTTATGTCTCGGGGACAATGGTCTCTGAAACAAATAAAGGGGTGAATCTCCCCAACAGAGACACAGACAGCCAATAAACCATGACAAAAGGTCTAACTTTTCCCCACTCTATCCAAAACGTTTTTTTTTTTTAATTGCCTTTATAGACACTTTAAATCCCATGGGCCCTGGTGTAGTTGCCCAGTCTGCACAAGCTTGGCCTTTGTCATGGCTACTTTATGGAAGACAGGGAAAAAATTCAGCTCTGGCGGCTCATCTGACCTGGGGGGGGGGGCATTTGGGAGATAAATTTATGGCACTCCCTTGCCTCAAAATGCTAGGACCCATGAGAATAACTCTAAAGTTTAGTTCAGCATGGAGGGGTTCAGCAAAGCACAGCTGTCTAGTATTAAAGGGGTTCATCTACTGCACTGTATATCAGCTGTTCTCCATATGCAAAATATTATTGAAAGTGGCAACTGGCTACATTTTTTAACTCATTATCTAATTTTTAAGCAATATTCTAATTTTTATATAAACATACAATTTTATAATGCACAGCCATATTTTAATTTTAAAAATGTACAAAATAAAAATACTGCTCTGAGTAAGAAAAAGGCAATTCTTTAACACGTCTGTCAAGTCCATAAAGATGACTTCATATGTTCCGTAAATATGACATATGTTCTACCCCTGACACAAATTCCATAGTCAGATGATTGCTATGCAGGTCAGGCCAGACATATGTTATCTAAACAGTTCATCCTTCAAGTTTCCTCCCCTGAACAGTAATCCCTGTAATATGCCTCAATTTTAATGCTTTTTTCCCTCAAAAGCACACTACTGTTCTACTGTAATTAAAGGGCAACTCTAATCAGGTAGATACTGTACCTACAGTACTTGAAACACAGGTATATAGGAAATGTTTTTAGTTGTAGAGTAATGCAAATGCATTTGTGATCCATCAACTCAGCTCTATATACTGTGCATACAGTGTCTTCAAGAAGTATTCATACCCTTTGAATTTTTCCACATTTTGTCATTTTAAAACCAAAACTGTAAATGTATTTTATTGGGATTTTATGTGATAGATCAACACAAAGTGGCACATAATTATGAAGTGGAAGGAAAATGATAAATGGTTTTCAACATTTTTGACAAATACAAATCTGAAATGTGTGGTGTGCATTTGTATTCAGCCCCCTATACTCTGATACCCCTAACTAAAATCTAGTGGAACCAATTGCCTTCATAAGTCACCTAGTTAGTAAATAGAGTCCACCTGTGTGTAATTTAATCTCAGTATATATACAGCTGTTTTGTTAGAGAACATTAGTGAACAAATAGCCTCATGAAGGCCAAAGAACACACCAGGCAGGTTGGGGATAAAGTTGGGATTTTATGTGATGGACCAACACAAAGTGGCACATAATTGTGAAGTGGAAGAAAAATGATAAATGGTTTTCAACATTTTTTACAAATAAATATCTGAAAAGTGTGGAGTGCATTTGTATTCAGCCCCCCCGGAGTCAATACTTTGTAGAACCTCCTTTCACTGCAATTACAGCTGCAAGTCTTTTTTGGGGATGTCTCTACCAGTTCTGTACATCTAGAGAGTGAAACTTTTGCCCCTTCTTCTTTGCAAAATAGCTCAAGCTCTGTCAGATTGGATAGAGAGCGTCTGTGAACAGTAATTTTCAAGTCTTGCCACAGATTCTCAATTGGATTTAGGTCTGGACTTTGTTTGCGAGATTCTAACACATGGATATGCTTTAATCTAAACCATTCCACTGTAGCTGAAAGAAGGCAGAAATACTTTTTACAGCCTGCAGACTATGTGCCTTCTGCTTTAGGGTATTAGTGAACCACTACCCTTGTGCTACCTGCTGTAAATGTCCAATGTAAACCCAACCCAACAAGGTAAAAAAAAAAAAAATTACTGACCCAGTCCTTTGTAAAATTAAAAAGCATCTCCTGTTGTAATATTCCTCCTACATGCAGCGATTTCCCTCTTTTGGGCTCAATGGCACCCAACATTATTCAGCCCATCTACTGTGAGCTCAAATATTTGACCCCTGGGGGTATGTCATCAAAGCATTCTGGGCTTACGGGAGAATACAGCAGAGACCTTTTCTGTAAACCACTGGTGGCTGTGGGGGGAAGGGGGTTTAAGGGTAAGAGAGTAATTGCCTTTCTTCCAGTTGAATGACACCCTGCATTATTCATCCCAAGTACTGTGAGCCCAAGGATGTGCCTTCGGGGGACACCACCAAGCCATTCTGGGCTCATAGGAGAAGGACGCAGGCAGCAGCACCATGTAATGACTTTTCTGTGGCATTCAAAACCTGTAAACTACTGGTGGCTGTTGGAAGGGGGCTATAACTGCCCAGCATTAATAATTAAAAAACACCCTACTACTTGCCCCCCCCCCAAAAAAAAAAATGTACCTGACTCCTCTCACCAATCCACAGCTGCCCGGTTCCTCTCTCTTCCTGGTCTCACAGGAGACACTGAAAGCAGTCAAAGTCCTGTAAGAAGTTAGAGGGGGCATGGTTTACCCACGCTGTGTGTACCTATGGACGCTCATAGCTTGGATCAGGAGTGTGCTTCTTAAGGAACACACGAAGGAGGGAAGAAGCAGACAGGTCCGGCTGGGGACACCAGGAGGTAAGGGACCACTCTGTGCAATATCGTTGCACAGAACAGGTAAGTATTGTTAGAGATTCTGTATATAGACCTACAGAACAGACAGTGCACAGTTCACATGTGTTTATCTGCTGCTTCTCTGCAAAAAAGAACCTTTTTCAGAGAAAAGACATAGACATAGAGTTTAACCATAAATTCAGCTACAAACTTATACTGCCATCTGCTGGTTGCAGGATATATCTCTACTGAATAGGTACTTGTTGCACAAAAACACATGAACAATGTATTCCAACACCCCACTCAACAACTACTCCTTATACAGTATTAGTGCCATCTCCAATCTCAGTTTTCTTGTTGCATGTTACTGTTTTTATCCTATTCTTCATCTTTAAAGCAGACCCTGCAATAGAAGCACTATCACTATTAATGCTTTCTGTTTTACACTTATATTCATCATCCATTCATGCACCTAACATATTCCAATGTCAGTTCATCATGTGAACATGCATCAAGTGGTGTGACAAGCGTTTCATAACTTTCTGGCAAACCACTAAATAATAGTGCTACAGCATGAAAATCTGTTATTTCTTCTCCTATACCTTTCAGGTGTTCAACCGTTCCCAAGGTGTGCCTTATGTAATCCTGCATATCCTGGCCTTTCATCAGCTTGGTTTTGTAAAGCCTTCTAATCAAGTACAGTTTATTGCTGATATTAGCTCTTTCAAGCACCTTTTGTAATCCTTCCCAGTTTTCTTTAGCACTTTCACACCTACATGGTGTATATGTATGATTTGATCATCTTCTATGCTAAAAGAGATTGTGCTCTGAGCTTTCTGATCTTTATCTTCCCACTCTTCTTAAGGGTGTTATGGCCTGACATCATTTATACATTTCCACTTACCTTTTCTTATTATCAGTATTTCCATCTTGAATTTCCAAGACTGATAGTTCTGGTTTGTTAGGTTTGCAAATGAAAGCTGTGTTGCAGCTTTGTTACTAGCCATTTTCTTTAACCTCTTCCGTGCCGCCCTATAGTAGAAATACTGCTACAGGGCAGCACAGGTGCGCAAAATCATGTATATATACAGTACGTGATTTTGCAGTTCTGGGTAGGGGGCACGCTCTACCCGCCCCGCCATTCGTGGCCTCGATGATTCCCCGCTGGCACCCGGCGATATCCGAGGATTTCCGACAGGGGAGAGACCTGTATGTAAACAATACAGATCTCTCCCCTGCCAGCTCCTCCACACTGCTTTGTATGGATCTGCATAGCAGGAACTTTTTTTTTCAGAGAAAAGACAGAGTTTAACCATGAATGCAGCTACAAACGTATAAACACTGCCACTGGTTGAACAATATATCTCTACTGAATAGGTAGTTGTTGCCGAAAATAATATATTAAAATATAATTAATATAATTAATATATATGACATGTACAACCTCTATTTTTATTTCAGCAAAAAAAAAAGACTTTAATATCACTTTAATATATCAGGAATGCATACATACATAAGTCAATAAAAGACATTTCCTAACTTATCTTTAAAATACACCTTTCTGGAGAGAAATATGGTGACTTCTATTCTTGACCTAAAAATGTTAGTTAAATGGCTGTCTCTGGCCTTTCTGAGTCAGAATCACTTGAAACAGCTGAACAGATACAAACAGTCAGAGGAAATTCAAACTTTGTTATTTGAACACTTGTTCTTGGTCTGTGAACAGGGGCGGACTGACAACTCATGGGGCCCCTGGGCAATAGGGGATCATGGGGCCCCTGTGTCCTCGCCCACACCCAAAAAAGCCTATGAAAAAGCCAATGAAAGGTACCAGGGGCATCTCATGGGGCCCCCTACTGACCCCGGGCCCTTGGGCAGTGCCCGAGTGCTCAAATGGTCAGTCCGCCCCTGTCTGTGACCTACAGTATTGATAGTCATCATAGTCAGGCAGCTACCATTAAAAAAGAAGAGAAAAACAAAACATTGAAAGTTCTCCTCTTTTGTGGTTCATAAAACCGATGCAACTAGACCAGTGTTTCTCAACCTTTTTTCAGTCAAGGCACCCTTTAAAATTATAAACAGTCTCGAGGCACCCCATTCTAAAATGGGGTGCCTCAAGACTGTCCATAGTTTTAAAAGGGAACCCCATTTCAAAATGTGAAAAAATATTCTAATAGCTTTTTAAATAATGCAGCAACATCCACACATGTAGGACATCCAAAATTAGAAGTGATTTATTCTTCCAAAGCAAACACACTTTTGCACACTGGTACTGACTAGTATTCCAGTGTTTCTCTGTCAAGGTCCTACCTTTTCCCTGAGGTTATGTTACTCCATGTGCTGGCATCCATCTTGGATTCTGCTGTGCATGGTGGGAATCCTTTTATGCCTTCAGGTCT